CTGCCAAGGAAAGCAAGAATCAGAAATAAAAGCCCCCATCTGCTGCCATCTGCTCCTCACACAGCTCTCTACACAGGCTGGGTGTGGCTGCAGCCTGCCCTGCTCCTGTCCCATCAGTGGCTTCACACTCTGACTGAATGGCTGTGTTCCAGCTGCTTAATCATCTTTAGCGGTCTCCAGAGGCTCTTCAAAGCCACACAGAGCACCGGGAGTTGGAAGGCTGCCAGGTTCACAGAAAGCCTGTCTACCTCCCTTCTTTGTCTCTACCAACCTCTTCCCACCCCAATCTGCCTTCTAGGTATCTCTAAGGCTAAGTCCTCTGAGAGACTGTATATACCCTACACATTGGTCCTTCTCCCTTTGTTTAATCACAGGACCACTATTCTAAGAGTAATGCCCTTTGTTTCTCCTTATGCAATGATAGATTCTAACTCGTTATCATTTTAATCAATTTTCAGCACTGGCTTGGGAAAGCCAACTTAGATCTATGTTTCTTGAGTGGAAAATAAGTATTCAGTGGAAAAAATGGAGTCTATGAATCAGCCATGCTGACTGCGTTGTCTTCCGTGAACCAAATGATCCTAAGTTTCCAAATAACTGTTAAAAATTTCTGGAACCTAACCCACTTTGAAGAGACCTGCTGTAATTGATAGCTATAAATAAATAAATCCCCAAAGGTTGAACAGATTGCAGGGGAGAATGAGGTCACATACCTCATCTTCCCAGCAACAAATGGAAATAAAATTAGTATTATACCAATTCTTCTTTAAGTATGATGTACATACACTATTATAGCTACTAGTGCTGAGGCAGAAACAACTATTAATTATTCATAAGTACTTCTAATCTTGAGAAGATGGCAAATAGAACCTGCAGACTGAGATTCAGAGACAAACCCCATTCAGCCTAATTTTTTCTAAGACTGTCCCCCAGAGATAACTCATCACACATACATACCTGTCATTATAATGAATAGTTCTTAGCTATTCTCTCACTTCAGATTCCGCAATAGAAATGTCATAATTAGATAAGGATTGGATCTGGATTCACAGAGAACCGAGGTAATTATTAAGTTTATAAAAAAAAAAGTTGGTATTTGGGGTCAGGATAATAATTTAAAAAAGGAATCTTTAGTATGTATTTCCTGAATAGTTAAACAGTTTCTGCAAAACACATAAAAATATATTAAAAATATGAGACTAATATCCAAGGACAGAAGAAATAAGGTCCAGGAGGATGGTGCATGGTTAGAAGCTGGCCTCAAGTGCTGGAGGGAGAAGGCAGTTGGGATAGAGAAGGGACCACTAGGATGATGATAGTTGGAAATGATCACTCTGGATAAGAGTTGTGTGGTGGAAGTGAGTAAAGGAACAAATATGATAGCCCTCTCAGTACCTGTAGTGCAAACCATAATTTGCAATTATGCCCAAAAGGAGAGAGGGAGAGACAGAGACAGAGACAGAGACAGAGAGAAAGAAAGAGCCTGCCATAAAGGCAGGCTGTGGGGGGGGGGGGGGTGGGAAGGTGCTGGTGGAGGGTGGGGAGAAGGAAACTGGGAGCACTGGTGGTGGGAAATGTATACTGATGGAGAGATCAGTATTGGAATATTGTATTACCGAAACCCAATCATGAACAGCTTTATAACTGTGTATCTCAGGGTGATTCAGTTTAAAAAACAGTCTCCCACATTCTTATATTTAGAAGGCTGTGACTTTTTGTAAGACTTTCCTCGGCCTAAAGTGTCATTTTTTGTAAGTCTAACATACTGGTGCTACTGTCTCATATATTTCTAAAATTCTTTACATAATTCTAGGAACAGGTTTCTATTTTTTTAAGAAGTGGGATTGAGACAAAAAGTTGCTACGCTCAGAGGGTATGGTGCCTTCTACAGATCAATCTGTACCTGTGAGACGAGTGCATCACAGCCTGATGGCGCCTTCAGACTTCTAGATACTCCAAAATTGCTGCTGTGCCTCTGGCCAGACCCCAAAAACTTGGGCAAAGTTTTCCAAGAAAATTAGGTATGTGGGAGACACACCCACAATCCACCTCCGGCTCAGCTATATAACTGGAGGCAAGGTCTCTCTGGTTCCTTATCGAACTGCTTAAAGGCCATGATCCCAGAAACTCAGAGACAAATCTCGGAACCCAGGGGCTTTTGGCAGAGATGTTTTCGGTCCCCGCAATGGGTTACCTGTGCCAGACCACCACAGGGGGAAAAGGGTGTTGTCCCTCCACCTGCTCCCCCTTGACAGCTTGGTGGCCGCCATCCTCCACAGCCATTGGATAGTCAGGTTTGGGTCCACAGTGACAATACACACAGGTCCTCACGGGATGGGGATGGAGCTGGCCCTTTCCTCCCCACCCTAATGAGACCCCTGAGTCTCCACCCATGAACAGCCTCTCTGGCTCCTGATCAAGCTGTATATCGGCCATGATCCAAGAGACTCAGGAACAAATCTCAGAACTCAGCAGGTTTTGGCAGAAATCCCTCCAGATTTAATGGTTAAAATTTCGGAATTCCAAAATCGCGAGACCACTACTATGAATGCATGACATCATATGTTATTCATAACCAGCCAATAGAAAACCAATTGTCTACTGTTGTCTTTTCGGCAGATCTGAGTGTTGGGGTAAAATCCCAAATAATAATGGTGGGTCTGGTATCAAAGTATTTAATGTAATCAAAGTAGACAGAGAGTAATGTGGAAATCATCTGCCCCACAGGTAGGGGGAGGGTATGGGATGGGGGGTATACTGGGGTTTTTGGTGGTGGAAAATGAGCACTGGTGAAGGGACGGGAGTTTCATTGTTGACCAAGACTTAAACCCGAAAGCTTTGTAACTGCTCTTACGGTGATTCAATAAATAAAATTATAAAAAAGGGGAAAAAAAGAAAAATAAGGTGGCGTTCAGACCCAATTCAATCAGCCTAATCAATGGATGAATAAATAGCAATACTCCTACATAAAAAAAAAAGTTGCTATGCTTTACAGCGGTCTCCATGGAACTGTTGTCTCAGCTTTCTTGGAGATGTCCTTTGAATTTGGCAAGAAAATGGAGATGCTGCTAATAAGAGCCACTTTCTTGAAGTTTCACATAATTACAAAGACATAGGATTCAAAGGTTAATGAACTAATTTAGATGACAAAACTTTTTGCATAGATACCCTCTAGTCTTAAATCATAAGGAAGTTACACATCTGAATCTATTTTTTCTGTGTTAATAATAATAATGAGTATAAAGGAAAATGTAGGAATGTAACTCAAATTCAGACACAGCCCAAGATTAATTTTCTGAAATGGGAGAAAAGTTCTCTAGAAAAGAATCAGCATATTTCTCTCATAGGGCAGGAATTCTATCTTTTCTGATATTTTATGTCCTAAGTGTTATTACACAATTCTGAGCTCAAGTGAGTAAAATGTAAAGAAACTCTCTCCTCTGAACAAACCTTTGTGGGTTTCAGATCAGGATTGTTTGAGTTTTTGTCTTGGAGGAAGTCATTAGAAGACTGTGACAGTCTTGGAAAAAGCTCAACAGGGCAAAACAATCGAACATTGGAAAAACCCCAGTGAGGAGTCTAGGAGGAAACAACCACAAGAGTGAAAAGCAGGAACAGAACAGAGGGGAAATGACACAGGCTCATGTGTTCTTGCTCCCGTGGCATCCAGGTCAAGAGCAGGTGGGAAGATCTCTTATTATATCCCTGATGGACTCACTTACCTGACCAGATAGGAGGTCACCCTCTTCTATATCCTCCTCACGAAACCAGAGTGGACACACTCTTCACACCACTCATCTTTTAAGGCTCAGAGAGGACTTAAGTTAGTTTCCATAACATAAATATCTGGACAGTTAATAAGCTCTTCCCTGGATTAAGCTGAGCTAAAAATCATAACATAGTGAAGAAACAACAAATACTCAAAGGCAAGAGACACTGAAAAATGGATCTTTAATAGGAAGCACATCATAAAGTGGGGTGGGGAAGGTGGGGGCAGACACTAAGGTGGAGGGGGTAGCAGTGAAATATTTTGGGGGTATTTTATTGCATGAAACACTGCCAGAATCAATACTGTAAATAACGATGCCTAAACTAATTTTTTAATTATGTAAGATTCATCTTCAAAGGAGAAGAGATTTCCCTCAAAAAGGATCTATTGCTAACATGCAGAGGAAATTTTCCACATGATATGTAAACCAGAGTCACAGTGAGACAGAAGAGATTCCCTTGATAGAGGCTCAAAAGGTCAGAAGTCTCAGGAGTATCAGTCACTAGAAACTTAGAAATTTTTTAAATTTTCATTTTTTTAAGGTTAACATAGAGTTAAAAAAAACTAAAAGAATATAGAATAACAAAAGCAAAGAAATGAAAAATCTGTTTGTTGTTCCCCCACATAGAAATAAAAGATAGCAAAATATAATAAATCATTTTATGATTGTAAATGGGCTGGAGCAATAGCACAGCAGGTAGGGTGTTGGCCTTGCACGCCGCCGACATAGCTGACCTGAATTCGATTCCTCCGCCCCTTTCAGAGAGCCCGACAAGCTACCGAGAGTATCTCGCCCGCACAGCAAAGCCTGGCAAGCTACTCATGACACATTCGATATGCCAAACACAGTAACAAGTCTCACGATGTTACTGGGCCCGCTCGAGCAAGTCGATGAACAATGGGAGGACAATGACAGTGACAGAGATTGTAAATGCTTCCTAGAAGAGACCAGCAGAAATGCGTCAAAATGCAACTTTTCAGTACGTGAAGAACTTTCTCTTGTGTTTCAGGAAGAGAAAAAAAACATTCATCTTGAAAATGAAGAGATGCTTTGAAATCACATTAATAAAATATATCAAATTCCAACTCAAAAAGACCTTCCTTTATTCTGGTCATAAGATGCCAAAGATTTCAGAGTAAGTGCATGGCTATAATGAGGAACGGGCCCCTCATAACCTGCCCCTCTCTCGGGCAACAGACAAATCCCTCGAACTGCCCACTACCCACTCACCAGATGTCCGACTTGGTATCATAGCCTTGGTGTTTCAGAGCTTCAGGACTCATATAATGGGGAGTTCCAGTTAAAGTTGTGGCAAGATCACAGGATCCCATTAGGAGTCGAGACACTCCAAAGTCCCCTTGAAATATAAGAATCAGTTTTTATGGGAACTTTAAAACAATGAAAAATCAGCACCAGACATTAACAACCATGGTCCTAATTTGACCATATTAGAATACAATGATTCAGATCATTTTAAAGGAGGGGAAAAAATGACAATATGTTTTAAAGTAGACAATGCTGGTAAGTGAAAAATATAAGCTTGAGTTTTCTTCCTCTGCCAGGTCAGTCATTATTATAACCCAGGACTTCGCTTTCCCTGCCGATCAGCCCCTGGCATCCTCTAGGGCCCTGGGCCGCCCACCATCCCTGAGTCTCTTTCTGTTCATCCCAAATGCCGTGCCTGGTTTTCTTCCTCTCCCAGGTAAGTCATTATTTGAACCTGGGCTACAGTAAGACAAGACAAACCCCTACAAGCACAACAAGCCCTTACAAAAAGATGGTACAAAACCCCATAAGAATAATCTCTCTCAATGTCAATGGTCTAAATTCACCAATTAAGAGACACAGAGTGGCAAAATGGATTCAGAGACAGAACCCAACATTCTGCTGCCTACAAGAAACACATCTGAACAATCAGAAAAAACACAGACTCAAAGTCAAAGGATGGAAAACAACCCTGCAAGCAAACAACCCCCTCAAAAAAGCTGGAGTGGCCTAACTAGTATTGGACAACATAGATTTCAGGTTGAAAAAGAATAGAAGGGACAGTGAAGGCCATTTTTCATTAATCAAGGGATATGTACTGCAGGAAGAAATCACACTCCTAAACGTATACACACACACAGAGGGACCAGCCAAATACCTACAACAACTGCTAAAGACCTTTAGAAGGACATTACAAGCAACACAATAGTAGTTGGAGACTTCAACACTGCCTTATCACCCCTAGATAGATCAAGAAGATTAAAACTCAGCAAGGAAATAATGGCTCTGAAGGAAGATATAGAAGACAGACGGCTAATAGATCTATACAGGACTTTATATACCCCAAAAAAGAATACACATTCTTTTCCAGTGCACATAGAACATTTTCCAGAATAGACCATATGCTGGGCCGCAAAGCATACCTCAAAAGAATCAGGAAGATAGACATTGTATCAACTATCTTCTCAGACCACAATGCACTGAAGATAGAAGTTAATCATGTACAGATGCAGAAAACCAAATCAAACACCTGGAAATTAAACAACTCAATGTTGAACAACAAGTGGATCAGGAAAGAAATCAAGGAAGAAATCAAAAGATACCTGGAAACAAATGAGAATGAAGACACGAGCTACCAGAACCTATAGGATGCAACTAAAGCCAGGTTAAGGGGAAAATTTATAACTCTACAAGCATTTCTCAGGAAGGAAGAAAGGGCCCACATAAACAACATGACTTCACAGCTCAAGATCTTAGAAAAGGACAAACAAAAGGAGCCCAAACCAGGCAGAAGGAAAGAGAAAATAAAACTTAAAGCAGAAATCAATGACATGGAAACCAAAAAAAAAAACAATCTGAAAGATCAATGAAACCAAAAGCTCGTTCTTCAAGTAAATAAACAAGATAGATAAACCACTAGCAAGACTCACAAAGAAAGAGAGAGAGAGAACCCTAATAAACTGAATCACAAATGAGATGGGGGATATCACAACAGATCCAAAGAAATTCAAAAGATCATCAGTGACTACTTTGAAAGTCTGTATGCCACAAAGCAAGAGAACCTAGAAGAAATAGATAAATTCCTGTATTCCTATAATCTCCCAAGGCTGAATCAAGATCTAGAATACCTGAATAGTCCTATTAATATCAAGGAAATTGAAACTGTCACCAAAAGTCTTCCCAAAACAAAAGCCCAGGTCCAGATGGATTCATTAGTGAATTTTTCCAAACATTTAAAGAGGACCTATTGCCAGTTCTTCTCAAACTTTTCCAGGAAATTGAAGAAACAGAAACTCTCCCAAACAGTTTCTATGAAGCTCATATCTCTCTAATACCAAAAGTACAAAGACATCACAAGGGGGGGATGGGGTGCTGGGGTGGGAGGGCTACTTGGATCATTGGTGGTGGAGAATGGGGACTGGTGGAGGGATGCGTACTCAATCATTGTATAACTGAAACCCAAGCACGAAAGTTTGTAAGTCTACAACAGTACCTCATGATGTTTCACTAATAATATATATATATATACACATATATATGTATATATATATAAGATTGCTTGGGGAAAGATGAGTTTAAGACAAGAAATTGAATTTGATGTAATTTCTGGAAGTAGGGAGAACCTGCACCTTTAAACAAAAAATGTTATCTCACGTCTGAAGCACCATAAACGAAATGATTCTCAAAGAGCTGAACAGAATGATTTGCAATTTCTTCTTGGGGAGCATTTGTTCTTAACACACAATAAAGGAAAAATTTAAATCAAAGACGCAAGCTTCATCAAGAACATGACTTTTCAACTTTAAATCTATCAGTTTTCTGTAATTGCCTGACAGGATACATGATTTATACCTTCCCTCTCTAAGAACTTCTTACAGAAAGATTAAACATTGAATAAGTGACATGCGAGGAGATACAGTTCTGAAGAAGAGCTAAAGGTTAAACAAGGCCATTTTATTAACATTTTAATGATCTATGATAACTGCTAACTGCTCATGATCAAATAAGAGGGGAAACCTATGATAATTAATCAAACTAGTAAAACAAGTCTCACCACCTGCAAAGAATCCAGCATGGAGTAGGACTTGGAAGGACTGGAGCAGAGATAGTATAGCAGATAAGGATCTTGCCTTGCATGCAACTGACCCAAGTTCAGTCTCCAGTTGGCATATGGCCCCCAAGCCACACCAGGTGTGATCCCTGAGTGCAGAGCCAGGAGTAAACCCTGAGCACCACTGGGTGTGGCCCCCAAATTAAAAAATAAATAAAAACAATCTTTTCTGAATCACAGTGTGAGTGAATAGCTAATGTATTCCATGTCAATTGGTATTAGATATTAGAAGCAAAGCAATGAATTTTGTTGGCCCCAACCAAGAACAAATAATTAAGAATTTTTAATAACTCAATGATCACTCAACACTTCTTGGTACTGTATACCTCAATTTGACATACTTATGACAGTGAGACTATAACTCCTGGGATTTTAAAGTACAAATATTAAAAAAACCTTACCAATTTTAAGTAGATTATTTTTCAGAAATATGTTCTTTGATTTCAAGTCTCGGTGAAGTATCCTCCTACAAAATACAAAAAAGCACATACAATTTCATGCAAAATTAAAAATAAATCTTAAGTGGTAAATTCCAATACAAATAACATATATAGATATAATAAGTAGTATAAGTCACACATAAATATACACTCCCATTGAAAGATCTTTCAATGTTTAAAAGCTGAAAATCCTCATTTTCTAGTTTCTCTGAGAAAGTAGGAGTTTTTGTCACAAGAACTTGTAACTGGTAAAAAGAATCGTGTAGTTTCAACTACTTCAATAAGACAGTTCTGACCATGGTTTGATAGGATCTACAGTGTTAAACGCAATAGTTTTAGATCCATTCCCATAAAGCTTCATAATCTATGATATGCAACCTATTATTGTTGTCATATAAATATCATTATTAAAGATATAAATGTACTACCATGCACATATTATTATGCAATTAATACATAACAATATGTGGCCCAAATGTTCATATTTCATATACTTATTGTAGTAAAAATATTGATATTGATGTCATTTAATAACAGATATCACTGATTAAAATTTACTGTACCCCAGAGCACTGTAAATCATGTCAGTTAAGGTCTTAACTTCAAACTATAGGGAGCACTGGGCAGCTTGAAAATCCTCACAGAAGCAACAACTCACAAAGTTAAATCAAGCATGCAAATATCTTCACATAGGCACAACTGAGTTGACAAGAAAATGAGAAAGATCATGATCTGCCTGCAGGAACTCTGGGTTATATCCTCAGCACCGCATGATCCCCCAAACACCACCAAGAACAACTATGAGCACTGAATTGGGAGTAGCCCAGGAGAACCACCAGGTATGGCCCTCAGACAATAAAAAAAGGAAGAAACGTAGAGGAACAGGAGTGTGGGTGGTAGGTGCTGATTTATCCACTGCAGGGAGAGATGTCTTGTATCTGACCTGACCTGGTGGCTTGTGGAGCATGGCAACAGGCACCAGAGAAGATAAGATCCGTCCCTGCATAGCAGATAAGACCTGTCCCTGAATAGTGACCCAGTAGGGAGTGTCTGGGCTCATTTGAAAAGCACTAAGTATCCGACCTTTAGTCCCACCCAACCCCTCAAGAATTATCACCTACTCTAGTCATTCCTAAGTGAGTAGTCATTCCTAACTACAGCATCTAGCCCTGATTGGGACTGGACTGGGGCAAAGCAGAGTTGGTGAATAGGTCAGTAATGCTAAACTTTATGTGATTGGGCCATTCTCTTAAGCTGAGACCCTCTATAAAATAAGTGTGTATTTGGCAATAAAGTGAGTGGCCATCAGCTGTCTTCCAGAGTGGTTTCTCCGCCCACCCATCATCCTTTGCCCCACGTCTGCCCAGACTCGGTGAGCAAAGTGTCTGGGCACATTGGGGAAAAACTGTCCCCTAACATGGGCTCACTATAAAGACCTCTCAGAACTACCCTGAGCCCCTGTGAGAAGGGGAGAGCAGAAACTCATACACAGCCATAAAGCCAGGATCCTATAGAGGATCCACACCTTCAGTAAAAGGCTGGCCTGAGAAACAGATATTCACCCGGGAAAGAAAATGACAAGAGTTTATCTGTATAGTCTGAACTGAGTGGAGGAAAAAAATAAAACAAAACTCCATATTTTGCAACCATTATCTCTTTATTCATTCACATTCTGGATTCAAATATGCAGTAGCTGCATGACCTCCAGAATCACAATCCAAGAAATTAACATAAAAATTGGTCTTCTGCTGCTAATACCCTCCTTGGGGCACCTGGCAGAAGCAAATGCAAACTAAGAGTCAGCAAAGAGCATACTATACATTAGGCCCCTGAGAGTCTCAGAAACTCTTAACAGGATACAAACCATAAACCATATTTTAAGTGATTAAAGTCATAAAGGAATAGAAATGTGAGCCATAAATAGGACAGTATCCTCCCCAACAAAAATAAATAAAGATAGCACAAATTTGAGGGGGGAAAAAAGCAGAATTTCTAGGGGGGAAATAGAGTTATTAAAATGATAAAATCAAGACTAGGATCTCAGGGGCTGAAGCAATAGCACAGCGGGTAGGGCACTTGCCTTGCATGCAGCCGACCTGGGTTCAAATTCCAGTGTCCCATATGGTTCCCTGAGCACCGCCAGGAGTAATTCCTGAGTGCATCAGCCAGGAGTATACCCCTGTGCATTGCCAGGTGTGACCCAAAAAGCAAAAAAGTAAAAATAAAAAAATAAAAGAGTAGAATCTCAAGTTTCCAACTATCATGGAGTACACATATAGAATAGTATCTCCCACCTCCAAGAGAATACTGCACAATGTTAACTTAAAATTGTGTTATTGTAGTTTAGACAATCTGGTTGTAATAATATCTAGGTTTGTAGTGTTGACATTCGTCACTAACTAAATACCACCATCACTGGTGTTCATGACCTTCTGCCACTGTCTTTTGTCACCTCTGGTCTCATCTTTTAAAAAGCCATATCTCTGAAGAGATCAGTTTATGAAAGCAAAGGAAGGCTGCCAGCACTCCAGAGGAAAGAAGAGCTTCACACAGTGAAAACCATGCTTCATGCTCAAGGCCTGTGGCCTGTGCAGAGTGTTCTGACCTGAATGAAGCTTGATGCAGTTTCACTGGGTTTGTAAGATAACAATTATAGTTCAGCACCATGAAGAAGTCAGGACTTAAGGGGCATATTCCCCAGAGAAATAGGAATAAAAAGGTAAGAAGTCAAACATCTTGGTGAAGCAAGATAATTTTTATTGAAATTTATTTAGAAAGATGTGAGGGAAGAGAAAGAGAAGAAAGAGAAGCTTGAGAGCAAACACAATCTCCAGGTAGAAATAAACAAGCAAAGGAACAGAGACAAGCAATGAGATTGTGTTCAAGGGAGAACACAGGCTTGAAGAGCAGGCATATTTAACAAATATTCAAAATGAACTATGATGAACATATTCAAGAAAATTAATGACACAGTGGAGAATTGCATCAGAGGATTAGATTCAATATCCATTTTTAAAGGGTCCAATAAAAATTCTAAAATTGAAACAAATATAATTTTTTAATTAAGAATTCAGTTTATATGTTTTGAAGCAGATTAGGCAGAAGAAAAGAGGATTTAGAAACTGGAATGGTAATTACTTTAAAAATTCAAACTGAGCACACATACACATGTGAAAAACTATCAGATACAAATGAGCAAATGGGTCACTAGAAAGAGTTCTCAGAAGTAGAGGCTAGAACGTGAACATGCAACATTCATCTCACAGATACTCTAGACAAAGAAAATCAAGAAGAGGCAAAATACAAAGACAGAATAATGGAAATTTTCAGCATTCAGACCAACATGCAGTAGCACAAGTTCATCTGTAAAACAAATCTCATGTTGGAATTTTTGGAGAGAGGGAATTAAAGAAATACACAACTCGACACACCTTCTATCCTGGAGAATAAATAACAAAGACAGAGAAGACAGTGAGAACTAGATGAAAGAAAATTAACATATTAAGAGTGGCAATCAGATAATGGAATAGAAGATGGCTTTTTAGCATTAATAAACCACTGAGAAGACAGAAGGCCAACTTGTAAAACAAAACATTTGTCAACTTAGAATTTTTCACCTGATAATAAACAAATTAAATATAGCATTTTAAGCTAAAATAAAAAATACTGTGAAAGAACCAGGAAAACAAACAGACGCCTCCAAGCAAACCAATAAATTTAAAAAACAAACAAAAAACCCCAAACAGGAGTGTTTAGCTTTCACACAACAGAAGGATTCCTTTGAGGGAGAATAGGATTGTCCAGGAAAGGCAGTCTGTGCCAGGGGTAAATTGAGGGGCAGGTGGACATGAGAAAATCTACACCAGTGGACGTTTCCAAACTGATGGTAATGGTGATGGCGAGCGCAGAGAGGGGAGTGTTAGAGAAAACAGAGCTGAAATCCTGAGTAGACACAATATAAAAAAGGGAGGAACATAACTGAAGTTAAAATCTTTGTAATGTTTTAAAGGGTAGATAAAATCCAAGATATCAGGAGAAATTACCATGAACAACTTTATCCTGGTATGCTGGAGAACCTAGAAGAAAAGGACAGTTTTAGAATCATCTAATCTGCCAAAACTGAGTGTGGAGGAAATAGAAAACCTGAATTGGCCAATCACAAGCAAAACAACTGGAACAGTAATCAAAAATCTCCCAAGAACAAAAGCCGTGGTCCAGATGGTTTCAATGGCCTATCAAAACTTAAAAAAACACTGTTTTTAATCCTTAAACGCTCTTCCAAAAAAATTGAAGTAACAGGACTCCTTCCTAATAGCTTCTGTGAAACCAACATGACACTAATATCCAAAGCAGATAGAGATCCTAGTAAGAATGAAAATTTTAGACCAATTTCCCTGTTAAACATCTACACAAAAATCCTGAACAAAAACCTTAGCAAACCAAATCCACTAGCATATCAAAAAGATCTAGCATTATGATTAAGTGGGATTCATCTCAGAGATGCAAGGATGGTTCAACATCACTTAATCACTTAATCCCCGTTATTCATCGATTTATTCGAGCGGGTGCCAGTAACGTCTCCATTCATCCCGGTTGCGTGCTAGCGTAGCCCAATGGTATCTGTTCGTTTTAGGAACATGTAGAGCCTCAAACCGATCATTTAGGGTCTTGACGAAGAAGTCTGACCATCTTATAGGTGGGCGTCCACGTGATCTTTTGATGTCTCGTGGAATCCAATCAGTAATGGCTCTAGTCCAGCGGTTGTCTGTAAACCTCATTACGTGTCCAGCCCATCTGATTTTTGATGTCTTGGCAAATGAGACAGCGTCCCTGATTCTTGAGCGTTGACGAAGATCAGAACTCCGGATTCTATCTCTCATTTGAGTGAATCGTGATATTCCAAGCATAGTTCTTTCGATTCCTCTTTGAGAGACCCGAATAGTGTTCTCATCCTGTTTTCATAGGGTCCAGGTCTCTAAGGCATATGTTAATGCAGGAAGAATAGTGGAATCAAAGAGATGTGCTC